AATGCAGGCTCCCAGGGGCCGATGGGACCTGTTTTTAGTAGCTTCATATATGAGGAGGAATCTGGATCTGAACTGTAAGGATCCTGATATTATCCTATATGCTTCTCATTTAACATTCTATAGCCTACTGTGAGGAAATGGTCTCTCTTTATCCTGTATGTTTCTGTTGTTTACAATAGTTGACATTTTTTTTTTGTGCGTTTTCTCCAAAAGCATAGCCATCTATATGTCTTTGATTTGCTTAACTTTTCCTAGAGTAGTTCTGCAATCTTAACACTTATCATACTTACCTGCTAAAGTGAAGAGTTCAGTTCAAAGTTGAGCGAAAAGAACTTACTATCGGGACTGATCAGCACAAAGTTTTGTTTCTGAAATTACATATCTGATATTTGAATTTTTATCTTTCATCTCTCGTTATATTTCTAAGAAAATTGATCCATCCACCTTCCATATGAGCCCAGAAAATCACATACATTTCACTTCCAGTTCCTATATACTCTAGTGTTTTTTCTTTGGGGTGTTTATCTTGACATGTATTTGGATCTAATGATTAATTACTGTTAATTTTCTTTCATCACTGTGACCTTAGAAGTAGAGAGCCTGAGATTTTATTCCTGCTCTCTATTCAGGAAAATGGATGCTATGCATGCCTTTGCACGGGAAGGGGATGAAGAGAAGTTGCTCCATTGCATAGAGAGTGGTGTGCCGTTAAATATAAAAGGTCGGTCAACCTTATATAAAGGGCTACAGTTTCTGCATAATATGAAGTATTCTTGATTGATAATTTTTATGCTTACCGTCTGTCTATGAGAAGGATGTACAACAACTTTAACTTTGAAAATTGAAACTACTGTTTATTATTTCTCTTTTAAGTTTATCCCATAGGACCTTTTCAATTAGTTACCTAGCTATACTTTTCTTCAATTATTGCAGACAGCGAGGGCCGCAGCCCTTTGCACTGGGCTGTAGATCGAGGCCATCTGAATGTCACAGCACTGCTTCTGGACAAAAATGCTGATGCCAATGCTAAGGTAGACAAATTTTGTATTTAATATTTATAGTATCATTCTCAATTTTGATATGGATGAAATGATTGTCACGGTGCTTCTGGGATGTCTGCTTATAACTTAAAAGTGAAAAGGGAACAAAAAAAAATCCGTGAAATTTCTTTAAACAAAAAACTTTGTTCACTGTTTTTGTAAGATGTAATGTAATAATCCATGTATGTTTACAGGATGATGAAGGCCAAACCGCATTGCATTACGCTGCTGTATGCGAGAGAGCTTCAATAGCGGAGTTACTTTTAAAACACGGTGCTGATATGGATATAAAGGACAACGAGGGAGACACTCCTCGTGATCTTTGTGAGTCAAGCTGGCCGGGGCTGGAGCTTCTGGCAAAAACCGCCAATTGAATTGTCCAGTCCATGTTTAGTATACATTTAAATGATCCCACTCTTTGTACAAATGGCAATACATTGATCCCTTTTCTACTTTGAGGGCTTTGTTATTACTTAGTTTTAGCCGTATTTTGCCATCTTGAATTTGTATTTGAAGGGCATAGCTGCCCCTGTTTTGTGCCTGGACGCCCAAAATTCGCTCATTGTTCAAAGGGGCTGGCTGAAAAGAAATTTAAAGGATTTTAGCTATATGCTCGATCAATTTGTATAGTGACAAAGCTCACCCAAGCTATAATCTGATCGAGGGTTTGATACAAGCTTTATTTCTACAGCATATATATTATCAAAACATTCCAGTGAAACATATTTTACTTTGTTGCTATTTATTACCTAGTATCAGACAGGATATACGGGTGAAACATTTCTCTTCTGCAAATTATTATCTAGCATCAGAAAGTCCCTGCCGCTAATATTGCATGTGTACCGATCCATTTTACACTTCATACAGGTAACTTTGATTCATACCATTGTAAGTAAACTACAATCATATTAAGGGAGCAGCTAAATGAATATTTGAAGGGAGTAGCACTAAAATGATAATCACGTTCAAGTCACAATCAATGATCAAATGGTATATATACACAATAATATAACAGTAATGCTCTCCTACCTCCGGTAGGCACATGTTAATATGTCCACCGTTTATGTGGCATGCACACATTGGTGATGTATTTTTTTGAACATATTAACATCACCAATGGAGTGCATACCACATAAACGGTGAACATATTAATATGTACCCACCATGAGTAGACAAACATTACTGTAATATATATATATATATATATATAGAAGAACCTATGCCAACTCGAATTTATATAATATAGCACATTTAGATAAAACTTTGAGATTCACCAAAAGGAGAGAGATAGAACTTTTTCCCACTTGCAGAAAAAAAACAAAGTATAGCCACAACAAATCCCTCAATAGACCAAATAGTACATCACATATTGGGATCCATCCAATCCAGATTTAACTAAACATCACCCAGGAAAAAAAATACTGCTCTTGTAAAGTTTGTAATCAAAATCTTAGGAAACAAAAGAAAAAGAGGAAATCGTCAAGAACACCTCTTAGTGAACCCGAACCCTAATCAAAGAGACCTAACCACAAAACCGCCCTTCTTCTACAGCTCATCATGGTCCTCATCCTCTTCCTCAGCTCCCGCGCCGCCACCTGGCGCACTTCCCCCAGTCCTCTGGTAAACAGCAGTAATTATAGGATTGCACACAGCCTCAACTTCCTTGAGCTTCTCCTCATAGTCCTCCTTCTCAGCACTCTGGTTATCGTCCAGCCACTCGAGAGCCTCCTTAGTGGCGGCCTCGATTTTCTCCTTCTCATCCGACTCCAACTTGTCGGCCAGCTTATCCTTGTCGTTGATTTGGTTCTTCATGTTGTAGACATAAGTTTCGAGGCTATTACGGGCATCGATTCTCTCCTTCACCTTCTTGTCCTCTTCTGCAAACTCCTCGGCCTCACGGACCATGCGCTCGATTTCTTCCTGGCTAAGGCGGCCCTTGTCGTTTGTGATTGTGATTTTCTCCGATTTGCCAGAGGCTTTGTCCTCGGCCTTCACGTTGAGGATACCGTTGGCATCAACCTCGAAGGTCACCTCGATTTGTGGGGTACCCCTGTATTTATCGGCACATTTTTTGGATATTAAAATTTTTCCGAAGTTGTTTTAACAAATTCAAGCTGTATTTGAAACTTGATTATAAAATGCAAACCTTGGGGCCGGAGGGATTCCTGTGAGATCGAATTTCCCCAGCAGCCTACAGTCCTTAGTGAGACTCCTCTCACCCTCGAAAACCTATTGAATATAGACAAAAAAGCAGTTTTAGAATATTGGTAACATTTTTATTGTGTCCACTTTTCAAGACTATCATCAGAAATCACATGTATGATATACCTGAATAGTGACAGTAGTTTGCTGATCCTGGTAAGTAGTGAAAACTTGGGACTTCTTGGTCGGGATGACGGTGTTTCTCGGGATCAACTTGGTCATTACTCCTCCAACAGTTTCAATGCCAAGGGTCAAAGGGGCCACGTCCAATAGAAGAATATCTAATTAAGAATCACAAGAGAGTTGGTGAAAATCTTTTCAGAATCAGATTTAACAATCTAGTTGTTAAAAGGGAGTGTTTGGTGCAGAAGATGAGAAAATGATCAACGCTTGTTCAAAATACAACTAAAAAGCAAATTCGAAAGAGTAAATATCACACAAATGCCAAGCTTTTTCAATGTCAAATTAAATGAAGCAGCAGCAGATGAAGATGCAGGCATTAGTAGGATACTAAACATTAGAATCACTCTTCTTTTCAGTTTTTGTTAATATACTCCTTACCAATATGAAAACCACTAACCAGCGCACACCTTACCCATGCCCTTTCAACTTTGATAAAAGGAGAAGCAGTGCAAATGCAAATGCAGGCATTTGGAGACATTAATAAAAGCTAAAACCTTAAAATCACACTCTTTTTTTCTCTCCTCAGAGTGCTTATAAACACTCCTGACCAAATTAGTAGATGACAAGTGCATTATTACCTTTGGTCTCATCACCACCCTCTCCGCTCAAGATTCCGCCTTGGACAGCAGCACCATAAGCAACAGCCTCATCTGGGTTAACTCCCTTGTTTGGCTCCTTCCCATCAAAATAATCCTTGAGAAGCTGCTGAATCTTTGGAATCCTGGTGCTCCCACCAACAAGGACAATTTCGTCAATTTGGCGCTTTTCCAGGCCGGCATCTTCCATAGCCTTCTTCACGGGGCCCATGGTCTTTCTAAACAAGTCATTGTTCAGTTCCTCGAAGCGGGCCCTGGTAAGCGGCTCGGAGAAATCTGTGCCATCAAAGAGGGACTCGATCTCCACACGGACTTGGTGCTGACTGCTCAAAGCTCTCTTAGCACGCTCGGCTTCTCTTCTCAACTTGCCGAGAGCCCTGTTGTCCTTGCTGATGTCCTTTCCATGCTTCTTCTTGATGAGCTTGATGAAGTATTCCATGATCCTTTGGTCAAAATCCTCTCCTGCAAGATTACAAATATATTATTTGAGATATAATCAGAAATAATCTAATTGAATGAATCATTTATCCTCCAACATATGGAATCAGTTAGGTAATATCTCAATTTTTTCAGAGTCAACACTGATGAAAGAACTAGAAAAGCTTGCGACTAAAATTTGGAAATGGATGATAAAAACCAGTAGTAGTTACCTCCCAAGTGAGTGTCTCCATTTGTCGAGAGAACCTCAAAGACACCATTGTCAATCGTCAAGATACTGACATCGAATGTTCCACCACCAAGGTCAAAGACAAGAATGTTCTTTTCACCACCTTTCTTATCCAAACCGTAAGCAATTGCTGCTGCAGTTGGCTCATTAATAATTCTCACCACATTCAAGCCAGCAATCACACCGGCATCTTTAGTGGCCTGTCTTTGAGCATCATTGAAGTATGCTGCAAAAAAATGACATGTGGAAACAACCTTAGCAACAGCATAACATAACTTAATTAAAATTTAAAACCAAAAAAAAGAAGAAAAAAAATTGAAGGTAAAACTTTACCAGGGACAGTGACAACAGCGTCCTTAATTTTCTTTCCAAGATAAGCCTCAGCTGTTTCCTTCATCTTGGTCAAAATCATGGCACTTATCTCTTCAGGACTGAAAACCTTGGTCTCGCCATCTTTTATCTTCACTTGTATGTAAGGCTTACCGTCTTTGTTAACAATCTTGTATGGAACAAGCTTCATGTCCCTTTGGACCTCTTTGTCTTCAAACCTGTTTCATAGAGAGAGTTTCGAGTCACGATTTGATGGACCTCACATATAACAAAAAATAAACAAAAGGGTATGGAGCATTACTTTCTACCAATAAGCCGCTTGACATCAAAGATTGTCCTTTCCGGATTAACAGCTGCCTGATTCTTCGCAGCCTCACCAATCAACCTCTCGCCGTCAGTAAAACCAACCCATGAAGGAGTGATACGGTTACCTTGATCGTTTGCTATGATTTCAACATGTCCATTTTTGTACACACCAACACATGAATAAGTCGTGCCAAGATCTATGCCAATAACAGTTCCAATCTTGACAGCCTCCTCTGAAGCAATGGTATACGCAAACAAGCTTCCTGTTACAAAGATCCAATCATCACATTAACACATTTATTGCAACGAAGTTGAATATCAGGCTCAAAGACCAATTATGCACTTACTACATATCAAGCCAAAGACAATTCAGCATGAAAGAATACAACATTATATACATCAAGGGCAGGGCAGCTAGAGCTCGGTTACATTAATCTATAGAAGTGAAAAGAATAAGAAACATGCATTCCCCTCATCCTCACTAACCAGCTCAACAGACATTAAATCCAGTAACTGTGTACTCTCCAACTCAGGTTTATAAGAACAAACAAAACCAAATGTGATTTTTGTCACAACAGCTTCAAAACAAAATCTAGTGATTCGTAACCCAAATCTCCAGTACATAGGATAAAAAGAGCATTATACAAGTGAGTTATCATGTTTCTATATTAAAATAAAATTATGGGTTCCCATTCCGATATCTCGAAAAATAAACAGATCTGAAGACAAGCACATCAGGAATCACGATCTATACAGTCCTCCATAAACAAATGATAAGTTGGTTAATAAACATAACCATTTTTTTCCGCATCATACACATAAACTATACTTCTTCCTAAACAGATCGTTCGTTCTCATTTCTCAATGACAAAAACGAAGCTCAATCAGCACACAAATAGAAAAACTTCAATAAAGAAAACAGACATTACATGTAAAACAGGTAAACAAACTAATGAGAAGCTTTACAAGACGCTCACCGATAAGCAGAATCCCGAATACGATAGAGGATGGGCGTCGATTCCACGCGCCAGCCATTGTTGCGGAGCTTGAATAATCAATAACAGTATGAATTCCCTTTTGGTCTCCTGTGATTTGTTTTCTCCGCTTTCTGTGTTGCAGTTCTGAATCTGAAGGTGTAGATGGCGAGTTGAGCTAAACATATATATAAACCAGCATATGGCGTGCACCCGTCATTCGTGATGACGTGGACCAATCAAATTGCGAGTATGATGATGCCCTGCGCATTACGGTCCAATTCGAGTTTGAACCCGACGGTTTTGGGTCCGCGGTGCTGGCGTGAACCGGAAGCAGGGGATGATCGTGTCACCTTGCGTGACGTGGACCAATCAGAGGTCGAGAAGAAACGTGCGGACCAATGAGATCGTTTCGGCACCTGGGGAGATCTGGGCCGTTGATCGGTACACCACAATTGTGCTTCTTTTCTCTCGAAAGTTCGTGCTCTTTTTGGAAGCCTAAAAATAGAATTGTACAACACTCCGTGTATTATACGGTGAATTAATAAGAAAATTATATTAAATTTACTTTCTTTTTTACAAAAAAAAAATATATTATTATATATTTTAGAATGATATGTGTTATTTATGATTTAAATGTGTTATATTATATTAATTTTTATAACTTATATCATATAACTACTTGAAATATAAATATATAAGTTGATAAATAATTTTATTTTTCTAATTAATATTAAAAAGAGTTTTATTATTGTTATAAAGATAAATATAAATTATTTTTTTATATAATACAATATGGATGTTAAATTGAACCTCATCGAAAGAAGATTAATTTGATATATTACATATGTAAAACTGATAAAAAATACAAAAATTATTAACTTTTAAAATATATATACAATTCAATAGTTATGATAAGGAATGATATTAAGATGCAATTAATAAATGTAATATGACCATAAATAATCAATATCAATATATTTATGATAATCTGAACCTAATTATTTTTTGTTTATAATTAAATTAAAATTTACTCAAACCTAATAACGAAACATGTAATTTTGCCACATATGATTCTTAAGCACCATAAGCAGCCACGTAGGCTCAGCGCGTTCTGGATTAATATATAAGGGGATTTAATTTTACAATTTTGCTAAGGAACCAGATGGTTGGTTTCCTTATGGAACCAACCACCAATGGAACAGCTCCACATGGGTATGTCCCATTGGTGGTTGGTTCTGTAAAGAAACCAACCATCTGGTTTTATAGAAAAACTGTTTAATTTTAATCAATTTCATTAAATATTATTATTTTGAATTTAAATATATTTCTAAATAACTTTGTTGTTTTAAATTACCTTTCAAATCCATAGTGTAATTTTTTTTCAACTAATGTAGCAAAAAAAAAAAATCAAAATATAAGAGGTTGGAAAAATAATTAAAGTACGCAAAAATAAAGAGAATAATTATTATAAAAACCATATATTTATGAAAAAAAAAAATTATAAAGTACTATTAGATAAAGATATAGTAATTATATTAATTTTTTCCAATAGGAATATTTATTTAATGAATAATATGTTTTTCTAGTAACATAATTGATGTATTTTATATGGAGACTTGGACTAAATTCGTGCACCCAATTTCAATTGACTGGAATTATATTGTTGATATTTTATTTTAACTCATTGATAATTTTACTACATCATGGTATTGAATTTGTGTGAGTTGAGCCCACAAAGACAATGAGGATACTGCTAAAATCCAATCATAATTTACTGGGCGACACTCTAGCCCACCCAAGCCCAGGAGGCTTTGCATTAATGTCGGAGACTAAGCCCAATTAATCTAATATGACGACCATTAACGTTAACCTCCCATACATTGTAATTTTACAACTTACTACTATTCGACCCTGTGCATTTGCAGATGTAAATAAAGTATTGCGAGTTATCTGTAGGCATATAATGATTAATTATTATTTTTTTCACTTTTTTTGTAGGCCAAATTTACAATTAAAGGAAGTGGAATATTTTTTATTTAAACTGCGTTTATCTGATTGGATGTAATGTATATTTTGTAAGTCTTTTTTTGTGAATTATTTATTATTTATTTAAGAATTTTAAATACTTTTAAATTTAACTACAATAATAAAATCTACTGAAATTATACGGTCAATTCATAATATGGTCAACTGTCATTAGTCAAAAGTTTAAAATAATTTTCATAATTTTAAAGTGATTTGTATTGAATATTTAATAATTAAATGAAAAATAAATACAACAAAAGTAATGGTTTTTGGAGGGAAAGTGTTAAATTGCTACATAGGTAAAATTAAATAGGTTTTATTAAATGCTATTAGTTAGTAATTTTATATA